GAGTTATAGTAAAATACGTTAAAATGGCGGCCATTTTGAAAAATGACCGCCCTCTACCAAAAGTGTCATTAGACAGTGTGCCATGCTTATACGTATTCACATACCAAATATGAACAAAATCGCTCCACTACTTTTCGAGTTTTAGTAAAATAAGTTAAAATGGCGGCCATTTTTCAAAATGTCCGCCATTTTTCAAAATGGCCGCCTTCTACCAAAAGTGTCATGTCATGTGTGCCATGCTTATAGTATTCACATACCAAATATGAACAAAATCGCTCCACTACTTTTCGAGTTACAGCAAAAATCGTAATATAACGAGTAAAGGCCGCCATTTTTCAAGATGGCTGCCATGTGCTTTTTTAATATCTACATTCCTAGCTTTATTAATGTCCTTTATAATTTTTTTTACATTTAAAACATATTGCTATTACAGTTTTACATATTGCACCTAAATTACTGTAAAATGGGCACTAAAATGGCCGCCATTTTTAAATGAGCGGCCATTTTGAAAATCGGCTTTCGAGCAGAACTTCTACCCCCATAGGGTATATGTGTACAAAATATGAATAAAATCGGGCCAACGGTATTTGAGTTATTGCCCGGACGGACGGACGGACGGACGTACGTACGTAAGGACGTACGTACAGACGGACGGACGGACAGACGGACGGACGGAGGCGTTCCCTATATCCCTCCGAACTTTGTTCGATGGGATAATCAGTCAATACAGTCAAAATAATAAGGTCAATACAAGATCAATAAGCCAATATAATATCAATCAGTCAATACAACATCAATCAGTCAATACAGTCAATTTAATAAGGTCAATACAAGATCAATAAGCCAATATAATATCAATCAGTCAATACAAGAACAATCAGTTTTATATTTATAGTTATACATGTATAGGAAGTGTCAAAACTAATGTCTCATTGATGAAGTATTTCCTTTGATCGCATGCATCAACACTAAAACAAAATCAAGTACATGTGAATATGAATATATTTTTCATACATTCACTGACAATGACAAATGTAGCTGCTAATAAAATATTACTTATCAACGGTGCAATTAAAATAACATCAATACCCCTGCTGGTGGCAAAAACATATCATTTCATAAATAAATTAATAATTAACCCAGCTTTTACACGAGAAGGTCATAGCGCACTGTTGCATATTAAAGTCAATCGGTTTGATTAATTCATGAAGACTCAAGCTCCTAGTCAAGCAGCCTGATTATTGGAAAATAGAACTGTCATTGAGGATTGTGTGATTCTCCTAGTTTTTATCTTTAGTTAACTTCTGATCGAGTCTTCTGATGGAGGGTTGCATTTCTCCCGTGTCTCATGCCATTAACTGAACCTTTGATTTGGCCCTTTTGCAATTCAACAATTCTCTACAGGGTGTTTTATAATTACTGGCCCCAATCAACTGCTTATCTTGGATATGAACCTTGTAGGCCATAGGTTGCAATTACATATATGTAAGCTATCAGTTTGAAAATATGAAAAATCACAGCTTTAACCTTAATACATTGTGATTAATGGACAAACAATTAAAATTTCGAGTTCTGCAAAACACATATTCTGCATGGCTACATTGATCACACGGTTAATTCAAAACAGAACTCATGTGAATTGTAGGGAAGCATCGGATCAAATGAGTGCAAAACCATTTTCAAGTGAGTGAAAATAGGTTTTCAAAGAGTGCGAATGCGTTTTCAAGTAAGTAAAAATAGGTTTTCAAATGAGTGGAAAAAGGCCTTCCAATGAGTGCAAATAGATTTTCTTGTGGATGCAATGCCTACTGGCTGAAATATCTAATTGATGTATAACTGATTTTCTTGGATAATATAAAGACAAGGTAGGAACCAGAGAAAGAATCATCGTGGGAAGTAAATCTCCATTTAACAGACAACATATCTAATTTCCATCAGTAATTAGGTTTTATAACTTAAAGGGTTATGATGACCAGGGGCATGTTTTATTGAAAGCTATAATCAACTAGGTTAAGCTTATTTCCCGGAGAAATGATAATCCCCCGATTCTGGCCAAAAGTAGACCTATTTTTATGAGATTCATGGCAATGTAGCACTTTTTCTTTGAACTAAAAATTTCTGAACTCTAATTAACTTATGCTTTGAAAAGCCACTAGCAATTTCTAGAAAGGAAGTGATGGAAAGCCAGTGAGAGATCAGGAAGCACATATTTATACATACCACCTGTTTCAAGAAAATAAGTTGTCTATTGGTACACCCTAAAATAGTTTAAGACACGCCCTGACACTGCCTGATATGATCAACATTTTTGGATAGTTTTTAATACAGAGTATAGATTCAAGAAAAACTGAAGAACAGTGCTATGACTGATATATTCATATTAAGGTATGATCGTATTGAGAAGTGTTTCTACTGAAAAGTGTTCCTACTGAAAGCTATCTACATTGAGAAGTTTTCATATTGAGATGTGTTCATATTGAGATGTGTTCATACTGAAAGGTATCCACAAGTGTTCCTATTGAGAAGTGTTCATATTGAGATGTGTTCATACTGAAAGCTATCCACATTGAGAAGTGTTCATATTGAGAAGTGTTTGAATTAAAACGAATTTACATTGAGAAGTGTTCATATTGAGAAATGTTCATAAAATGTTTACTTAAATTCCGTTCCAACCCTCACTCTAAGATAAATCAACAATATGCAATATCTTCTCATATTAACTAAGCTAATGATTTCATAAACAACTAAAAAATTTCAAAATCATCAAACAGGGCAACTTATTCTAGCTGAACTATAAGAAACAGTTATACTATTAAGAACAACTAAATTATTTTTAACAAAACTATCATTGTTATACATTCACGCGTAATCCTTGTCTGTCTACTTTAAATTCCATTTTAGTACAAATATTGGAAAACTATTTTTAAAATGTAATCATAACAACAAAGTAGAGTACGGGTATTGATTGATCCAATGGCTCCAAACTGTAACAGACAATGATTACATAGACTATGTGATTCTAACAGACATGGGGAACAAAATAGATGCAATGAAATTGATTGAGACAGATAAGATAATATTTTAGCGTGACTCAGAAGCTAGAAGAGAAAGTAAAACCATATTCTTTGAATACCTCTCTAATCTGGACACCTCTCAAGGTCATCATTTTTACGGCCCCATTGTTTTTAATCTACCATTGACTTTCATGTTTAAAAACTAAAAACGTGACACATTTGGCTGGTTTGCATTTTGATTAGACATAAATTACTGCAATATAGATTTCCCTCTGGTTAATTTACAATATTTGTGCTGAGGAGGTCTCAATGACCTTGAAAAGTAGATGCCATGGGAGTCAAAATCTGAGATAAATGGCAGCTTGCTAATATATGAAAGAATAAGATTCTGTTAACAAAATTCTGATTGGCTAGCTGAAATTTGGTTACACTAATCTGATTGGCTAAGACTAGAACAACGATGATCTCTTATCTAATGAGTGTAGTTGAGCGCTCATTTAAGGAGACGTTTAATCAAACTATTTTAATGAAAAAGTCACCTCCTGGCTTCTATGAGCATGATTACGAATGAATGAGTGAGGAATAATTCAACTGTGTCTGGTTTAGAGTCAGTTGTGCTTAAATAAGTAATAATTCCTAATTGGAGGCACTGACTCAATAGAGGCACTGACTCAGTGTAGGCACAGACTCAATGGAGGCACTAACTCTATAGAGGCACTAACTCTATAGAGGCACTGACTCGGTGTAGGCACTGACTCAATAGAGGCACTGACTCGGTGTAGGCACTGACTCAATGGAGGCACTGACTCGGTGTAGGCACTGACTCAATGGAGGCACTGACTCGGTGTAGGCACTGACTCAATAGAGGCACTGACTCGGTGTAGGCACTGACTCAATGGAGGCACTGACTCGGTGTAGGCACTGACTCAATAGAGGCACTATCTCAGTTGAGACACTGAACCTCAAACCTCAGTGAAGTAAAACTCTCAATAGAATTCAGTTCTTCCATTGAGTCAGTACCTCAATTGAGAGTTTTACATAATACTTGTACTAGCAATGCATGCTGATTGGAGCAGATATAACTTTTAACTTACATATTCTAAAACTCATTGCAATGGACAAGTAATCTCTGGAAGAAATTGCCATGAGTAACCATAGAGGCCGCATCTTTTATATTAAGTTACAAAGTTGAAATTCTATATTAAGAGCCTTTTTCTCAGCTTATTAATCAACCTTGTGTATGATGATTAATACATAGATATTAATACAGTTGTCACAAATCTAGTTTAAGCTCATAAAATGGTGAATGAAGCAAACACTATAACCAGGTTAGAATTCAGTTTGACATAACACATATATTAACACACATATTACGCATTAACTGATAAAGGAACCAACAATAAAACAGAAGAAATAGAGCATGTTTTTCTAGTAGCATGTACTGCAACTGTAATATATAAGGCACTAATAATATACTTAACATGATTTAAGTACTATATAGAAAGAATTATGCCAGAGGAAATGTTACTTTGAAAAATGGTGAAAATCAGGTTGTTTATTTCAGAGTTGCTGTCATGGCTGTTATGTGCTTTAATTGGAGGTAATAAATTATATTGCATGGTCAGAATATACATGTAAAGTAAAACCTGTCTATTTGAGTACCGCTGGGACTGGCCAAAAGTGTTTAGAATAACAGGTGTTCATATTTCAAGGTTTCTTAACATTAAAAGGTGTTCCAATAAAGAGGTGATCAGATATATCAGGTTTTACTTTACATACAATCCAAGACACTACGTACTCTCTGAAGTCAGCTACACTAAATGCTGACATCTTTAACAGAAAACAAGGCGTTGACATGCATAATGTCACCACCATTTGTTACAGATGCCAACCACCAATTGCCAACCGCCATCACAAAAAACGGAGACCGTAACAACATGTCACCACTTTTTGGTGGAGACATAAAAACAAGAAAAGGTTTTCTACCTTCATCCCCCTCCACATCAATGAAGTCCTGGTTGTCATGGTTACGGGTATCACCATCACATGACCCATTGTTGCTGGTAGGTTTGTGTTCTTTGTTGCTAGGGTAACTGTCTTGGTTTGTGTCATGGTCATTGTTGCTAGGTATATCACTTAGGTTGCTAAGCAACTTCAGTGGTTTGGAGACCTCTGGATCAAGACTTTCATCCTGGAATAAGCAATGAAAGATTTAAGTTTGTTATAATAAATACAACATGATAAGTTATGGTAACTGTCTTATTTCTATAGGTTTCAATTAGGGCATGTTTAAGATCCTAGGGAACACTGTTTCAGATCTGTTCTGGAATAAACAAAGGCACATTTAAGTTTGCGAGGACTATAAACCTAGTTGCTATGGTTATCATTCATCATCAATATTACAAAGTATTTGCAGTTGTAATGCTACTTCAGCATTTTCTTATCGTGGATATTTGGATTGATTGAAATTCCTTGGAGATATTTCTGCTGTCTCATAGTTCATTGACTAGAGCATGTACTGAGGCCATAATTTAGAATACCCGTCCTTCACCAATACCACCTGTCAGCTCAACTTTATCAATTTTCATCAGAATTTGATTCAGAAAATGAAACAGGGCAAAGGCCTTCATTTGACCAAAAGACATGATTAGTGATACTTCATGAATCAGGCTTAAAAGTGCTAATTCAGCATATTTCCTAATTTGAAAGCATGATGTACATAATAACTCACTCCAGCAATAATTCTGATTTTCACATCATTTGCAAGAATGAAACATTGTCTTTCATTAGTAGGAAAATGCAATTTATAGAAAGAATGCATATTTTCTAGGCTAGCCCTCTCTTTAGTGAACACCTACCAACAGTGAACACTCTTCGGGGCTCTATAGGTGTTTATTACATATAGGTTTTACTTTAGTTGTGTATTCAAATTCAACTCGTACATGTAGATACAATGTTGTTAAGTAGCCATATCAGGGGCTTCACTAGAATTTCTCACAACAGGCTAAATAATTAAAAAACAACGTGCAAAATTAATGGAAATCGTAAATTTAACATGGAAAAGTTGAAAAATTTCTAAATACAACAGGCGATTTTGTGACAACAACCGGTGAAAATCGCCTTTGCCTGCTGATAATGAAACCCTTGCATACCTACAGCCATGACTTTTATATTAGGGGTTATCATGGTATTAAAATTATATATATATCCTCTATTATGAGCAAAAAATAAAATTTACTTTTCATCCTTCACCTTGTGTTGAGGTAAGCAATTCTATTGTGCGTCTAAAAGTAGCAAATAATCAAGTTATAAGATCCTTGAAGGAGCGCATCCACTAAATCAATGTGTTATGAAATAAGTAAAGCTTGGATATATTAACCTACTAGGTTTCCATCATGACTGTAAAGGTCATAAGACCCATCAATAAGAGTCCATTGATAAAATGTCAAATAATTCAAAATATAGTAAAAAATAAACAGAATTATCAGGGTTTTCTATGACATGGATAACAATATAAATAGAATTCAAGAAAATCTAAAGACTTCATTCAAATTCTAGAGGGAAATTCTAGAGAGATATCATGTGAAATAAGCAAGAACATGTGACATTGAGATCATTTACTGAGGCATAGTGTATGAATCACTGAAGGAGACAAGCCAAAGATACAAATTAATGAGTTTTAAATCAGTGTCCTAGAACTAAATTAGTTGATAATTGAAGAGTCTTACTGGATGAAAGACACCCTTCATTATGATCACCAAGGTTGAATTTTTCAGATGTGTGTAGGTGTATTAATGTTAGATTAGGAAGATATCCTCTAAAATTAGCATTTAAAAAAAGGATCAGATGATTCATTTAATCATAGGTGTAAGTATATTGTATTTAGATATATTGGGAAAATACAAAATTAGCATTTTTTAAGGATCAGGTGACATGATTTTGATTTCATCAGGATAAATCATGACAAGGATTTTATGAGGTATGATACCCTGATTCCAATCATCTGGCCACACAGCCCTCTAACAATCATACATGATTTCATAATGTTGATAGATCTTAATGATCTGAAAAGGTTTGTCGAAACAATGTGCAACTAAGTGTAGCCTTTATGGGAATGAGACTGTGAAATTGATATCATTTATTTAGAGACAGAAAATGAAGGTCAAGATCTTTGGAAGGATAGACCAAAAGAAATATTTCTAAAGAGTATAGACTACTAAGAGAAGCTTTTGAGAATGGTAGCTGGAATATTCCTGCAAACATGAAATGGAATAAATTTTGAGGAGGGTAGTTGGAGTATTTGTGCATTCATGAAATGGAATAAATCTTGAGAAGGGTAGCTGGAATATTCCTTCAAAGATGAAATGGAATAAATTTTAAGAAGGGTGGCTGGAGTATTCCTGCATTCAGGAAATGGAATAAATCTTGAGGGTAGTTGGAGTATTCCTGCATTCATGAAATGGAATAAATCTTGAGAAGGGTAGTTGCAATATTCCTCCAAAGATGAAATGGAATAAATCTTGAGAAGGGTAGCTGGAGTATTCCTGCATTCATGAAATGGAATAAATCTTGAGAAGGGTAGTTGGAATATTCCTGCATTCGTGAAATAGAATAAATTTTGAAAAGGGTGGCTGGATCCTGCAAACAAGAAATGGATGAAATGTGATTTATACTCAATCAATAAAATAAGAAAAATAGTGGCATTTAATAAATGTAATTCTTAAAGAATATTTACGATCTGAACTGGTCCTGGGACGTTTCATTTACATTTCAATACAGACTGGTAGTGAGGTAATAGATTGATTAACACTACAGAGCTCAATCAGAGCATAAAAAAGAATTCATTTACAAGTATAAGCTTTAAGGCAATCCTGAGACACCCTGGAGCAATATAACCTATCACAACTAGAAATAAATGAAAGATTGAATAATCAGGAATAGATTTTTATTGAACACACTGGTTAAAATCCTGATTATTGGATCAATGACCTCAGTTAAGATCAGTGTGAACTGGCTTAAAATAATGCAAATTGACTGCAACCATATCATATATCACATTGCATAATGTAATAAGGTCATACTGCCTGTGTGCTGCTAATGAGTTTCCGAAGTAGTCATATTTTGATAAATCACCTGATTCAAAGAAAGCATTCTTCAGACTAAGGACCAAGTTATACTCCAATATTGTTCCAAAAAATTATTTATTAAAATTCAGATTGACCCCTAATCCCCCAAAAAGTGTAATTAGAAATTTGCTGACTTCTTCAAATTAAAAGGCAATTTTTATCAAAATCAATATTCTCTAACAAGCATATCATAGACTTTTTCCCTCTGTAAAATGCCAGTTGATTTGTTTGTAAGTGTATATCATATTCCTATATTCTTGAATGCAACCAGACAGATTAGAGAGGTGGAAGTGACACAGATCACTATGCAAATCTTGCTCCTATATTGTACATGTATAATACCAGGATAGGCCTTCTATTCTTTCAATATCACAATTGATTGTTCTCATCATGATTACCAGGCCAGTGTGGCACACATAATACAACTACATGGACTATCTAAATATTTCAAATTATATATCCATCAATGGTGGGGTCTATCTCCTCTGTATAACGTTAAGTCCCTCGATTTTTCATAATTACGATTTTTGTAGATACTTATATCATTTTTCAATTGTTATTTCCCAAGGGAAAAATTAAATGTATGGTAGAAAACCTTAAAACAGTACATTAACTGAAGTTTTGAGCCTGTTACTTTTTGTATAATTATACCTAAGGAACAAATACATAATAGAATTGGTAGTAAATGTAACATGTTGAAGTGTAACACTGAATTTCAGAATGCTTCAAATAATTTTTTTGAAATCTGAGATTTTTATTTTAACACCAAACATCATTCATCTATAACGTACATGATAGATGGTGTCTGTACCCTCCCCTTCCTTATAGATCAGAGGAACTGTGACTTTACATCATTGAATATAATAAAAAAGTTATGATGACTTGGAAACTTGATTCTGATTCCGTTCATTAATATCTGCAATAGACGAAGTGTAATTTGAATTTGTCTGTCTGGTTTTGAAGCTGTAACCAAATGCATCTGCTAATGGCAACCTGAATCCAACAAAGTCTATATAATACCAATCAAACCAGGGGAAGATGTCAATGTAACACTTCAAAAATAGTACTACTAATGGGGAAGATCAATATAATGCCACCAACAGGGTGTTACTAACATGAGGTATCAAGTGAAATAACAACAGAGTGCTATTAATAGATTACTATAAAAATGGTATAAACAGTGTCGCACCAACAGGGCACTACCAAAAAGGTGGTACCAACAGGGTATCTGTATGACGAGGCTGGTATCAACAAGGTAATACCAACTGGGTACTACCAAGAGGGTGGTAATGACATGGTGGTACCAACATGGTACAACCAAGAAATTCTGGATAATTCAACTGGGTATGACCAACAGGGTTCTACTTACAGGGTGGCACCAACAGGGTGGCACCAACAGGGTAACACAGGGCAAACTAATATAGGTTCTACTCAAAGGGCATCACCATCCATCAGTGCTCTATCATGTACTATATATTATACACTGGTGCAATAACCAGTTTCTTCTTCTCCTGATAAATCTTTGCAAATAGATAACTGCAATCAGCTGGACATACTAATTCAATATCATATTCTTTATTCTAGTACAATGAGTTCAAGAGCAGCCACTTGCAGTTCAAGGAGAATCAGTGATCTGTCTACTAACAGACTACTCTGGTTATTAATGGAAACTGGTTCATTCCTAGTACAGGCCTGATTGGAACAAATAACCTTCGGGTCATATTGACTTTCAGCTGTCTGCCTCAAAACATAATTGATGTTTTATACAACATGGTAGCAGCGGTATATTATGTTGAGACTATAATACATACATTTACGTTGGGCTAGAATAGAGTTATATGGTTAATAGACTTTATAAATAACAACTTACTTTAAGGAAATAACATTGAATTCAAACTGTTTGATTTCCTGATATATGTTTCTTGTTTATGTAAATACTCAGAAAACATACTAAACAACTTTGATTGCTTTTTTATAATACAGTAAAACCGGTCTTCGTTGTTTGTTAAGGTGAGACTATTTCATGCTACAGTTGACAAGCCACACATTCAGTCACTGGAAGGAG